AATACAAACCAAAATGTTAATTTGCTTTACGAACTTGGCAAGCCTACTCAGCACCCCCCCCCCATCTGACGGGCGTTGTTTTGTAGTATTGACAGTGCGATGACTAGCGTACGCAGGAACTACTCAAACTGGCAATATAAATTGTTAATTTCAAAGATACTGCATATATCTGTACCTCATATACTTCCATTTTGCAGAATAAGCTGTACGAAAACAACGAAGGAATTACCTATCAGATCGATTCCAATGATGGTTTCATACAGGGTTTGCAACGAAGAGGACGCTTAAAGAGATTTTTCAACACAGTCACGGATTTTGTCACTTTAATAAACTCTGTTATTGCCGACCCCATGACCGGAGGAGAAAGGAGGAGAGTGAAGGAACGTCGTGAAACCTCCCACGAAACTGACTATTGCTCTTCATGCTATCGACGCTACCGAACTTTATAACCGCTCGGTTGTCTCCCTGATTACCAGGGGCTGGACAGGTTGTTGAAAAATTGAGACAGACTTCTGAAAGTCGGCGATCAAAACCTGCTGAGTGCTGCGGTTTAAAGCACGTTGAGTTGCTGTCTGTGGATAGTAAACGAACTTTTTGGTGAATACAAGAAGTTCGACTGGACTGTCAAGGAGAAGAAGGCTACAGCGGCTTGGAACTAAATGGCCTTAAACTCGAATGCAGTCATGAAATAACGGTAAAAAAGAAAGGTGTTAAGGAGGCTGCTAAAGCAGTGGTTAGAGCGTAAGCTGATTCATGGGACAATATCGGTTAGGCGGTAGAGTCAAATTTCCACAAGGCAGTCCGTAGCCTTCTAGAGGGAAAAACAGGAAATGTAAGAATCCTGTAGGACAATTCCGGACGCATTCTTACCAATGAAGCGGATATACTGTCGATAGAATGAGAAATCTGACAAACTCTACACCCGAGCAAGTGCCTGGAGTCTCGCCTGAAGTGCATGAGAGAACAGATATTAATCATTTGTAGTTAAAGTCGCAGAAACCTTGAAATGCTTGAAAATGTGCCATGGCTTCTACAATCGATAAATCCTCCCTGCTAGGCTTAAAGCTTCAGGCTGGCAAGACATATTATAACTAACATGTATTTGTCAAATTGCAGTGACTACAGGGATGGCACCATTAGACTGAAGAAATGGGATGGTGGTACCCTTATAAAGAAGGGAGATAACAGAGTGTTCCACTTATCATGACTCTAACTCACGGATCCTTTAGGGAAATGTATATTCAAAGGTGTTGGAAGGAAAGTGCCGCGGTACAGCCGACTGTGGTCTTGCGTACAAGCGGTTGAAACCGGCTTTCTGAGCTAAACCGCTGGGTTTTCACATCTCGAAAGATCCGGTGTTCAGATTTCCGAAAAAGCTTCATTGTATAGCCGTAGCTTCTTCAGATCGATGAGTCACAATTTGAAAAGCTTGAGCATATTCTGAGGATGCATCCGCATAGGAAAACGAAGGAATGCTCTTTACTCTACCTGCAAAAGACCGAGAGAAAGGCTTAAGAATTACCCGGGACAAACCTTGATGGAATTTGCCCCAGACCCTGGTTATCTTTTGCTGGCAAAGCATTTGGAGCACTGCAAGATCCTATCTGACGATGCTTCCTCCGCGACCCAAAGCGAACAGCGGTCATTGACCCTGACTTAGTTGCTGACTGATGGAGAGAAACAGACTGATTTAAATGCGAACTCTCTGGTCAGTTCATTGGCAGCTTGTGGTCAAACCTTTGCAATTTCAGTTTCAATTAGCTTTCCCTTTCACGTTTAAAAATCTATTTGTTATGATTATTTAATCTGATTCATATTTTCTGAAATAGCAAATATTAATTTTAAGTATTAAGTGCTTAAAAAATGCAAAGTTTTCTAATATAATTAAACGGATGAGCATTCTGACGTTGAATAGGAGGGTGTACTGCCAGGATTACTTATTATTTATGTCGAGGCAGTCTTATATTGTCTAATAAGCTCTATCTTATTGAAGTAAGCAACATGGTGACAGACGTATAAATCATCCATTTAATTACTCGATTTTTGGAAGACTTACTAATGAGCTGAAAAAGATAATAAAGGATTAGTGATAATAAAGGACTAATATAAATGCGAAGCAGATAAACTTCTGATTTAAAAACTGAATATTAACGTGTTGAAATTGGTAGGGCCTCAATTTATTTGGAGAAGGTTTCGCCATAACTGATTATAAAACTGGCGAAACTGAATAATAAGTTGTACATGTTAGCAAAAAATAGATAAAGGATAACATTATCTGAAGATGTACAACGAAGTAGACAGGACTGAGGCACAAACTTAGAGTGACTATGGATGTAAGTGACTAGCGCCTGACTCATATTAATGGGCGAACTTATGTCAATACTGTATTTCACTTGTTTAAGTGCTTAGTTATAGGCGATTGGATAAAAGCGAGGATACACTCAGGTCACATGAGTAATGTTCAACGTTTTCGAGCTGAGTTTAACATGTTGTTCGGTATTAAAGAAAAAAGACTGATTTACGAAAGTTTAGGTAGAAGAAGATATTAGGCAAAACAATACACATTTTCTAAATAATGTGATCAGGATGTAGAAGAAATGAGGATGAATCTGTCAAATTGTGATCACAGGTAAGAAATGAGTTGCTAGAATTTATCGAAATTATATTAAAAAGAGGTATTTCGGTAGTATAGGTATCGTTCATTGTCAAAGTAACAGTGAACGGAACCAAAAATGCAACCATACGGCAGATACGTAGCTGCATTCATACCTTTGCTCATTGTGACGTTGAAGAACGACAGACGATTTACTCTCGAAAATGTTAGCATGTTAAGAAAGTCATTCTACGATCATCGATACTCTAATCACAGAAACTGAAAGATTCTGTTTATTATCATTTGACACTAAATCGACATAAAATAGAGAAGACGCATAAGTGCACAGTGTCAATGAAGCACGCAATAATATCAAAGAATCTTCGATCATCATAACATGGCAACGGACAGCAAAATTAGTGTTTGATTTGACTGACGCTGCTGACAGTCATTCAAATACAAAGGATTATTAATTAATCGATTTTGCATAAAACCTAATTTGCGGATTAAATCCGCAGTGAAACGGTAATCAAAACAACAAAAGGAGTAAATCCGCATTCGTTTTAATTATGATTTGTTGCACCGTTTGTGCGCAAAGCCTGTTGAGCTTAATTCTTACTACTCTAAGCAAAGTATGCACATTTTATTGTCAATATCTGGCTACAGACGTTCGTTTTTTCGAAGTCCACCTGCCCTGTTGTGGACTTCAATACTGAGCGTTTCTATGCATTTGGTCAAGGGGTTTGTGGAACTCGATGGTCACCTTCCTTATCTGTCATCGTTCCTACCCTCATTTTGGACCTGCTGTGGTATGATTTAGACATGGACTTACAACTTCGGACGCCGCTATTATTTACATGATCTGACCGGGACATATTATTGCTAATTTAAGTAGACAACATGCTGCCAACAGCCCAATAAATTCGATATTGGCGGCATACTGTACTAGCGAAAAGTGACCGTCAATTTTCAGAACGTGAAGGGCGAAAAGATTGGTTACGCTTTGCTGCTCCGTCAGTTTACAAGCTGACCAACCTGAAGTACACATATTACTAAACGCCAAACAGGCGCGACTTTGCAATGATAGTTGTAAACACTCTCCCGTTGGCCATCGTCTATGACCGATAGGTACGATGCTAATGAATTATACGTGGATGTCGGTGGGCGGTCAGTTAGCCGGGCGCTTGAGCCCTACCCCGGTGACGGTATCGATTTCTGGAAGGGCGATGCGTACTACGGCAGTGTCTCGGCGGATCAGCCACCGAAGCGAATATAGCTAGGACCGGTGGTCAGTGACACACTCGCGCGCACACACGAGAGCAATCACATTCGCGTTAGTATGCCTGGACATATGTGCGCTCTCACCTGCGCCACATGACGAATTCGCCTCGCTTCCCCTCGCCGCCGAACTTCCTTAATCGCATGCCAAGTCGTAGATCAGGCGTACAAAAACATCCGCACGCGGCAGCGTCAGCGGCACGGCAGCGGCCGGCGCCGCCAACACTTCCATAAACAAGATATGGTCGAGGTTGCGCTGATCACTCTCTCCCTCAGTTCCTCTGCATGGACGCTATGTGATCGCGACCGACACTATCGCT